GAGTCATGATTGCCAATATTGAAAAGCCAGCCAAGAGTCCTGATTGTAAATATTGGAAAGTCAGCCAAGAATCCAGATTATCTATCTCTAGAATATTGTGATGAAAATAAAAGAAACAGAGACAGGTCTCATATTTTAACAATGGCTGGAAAGTCAATGTTTCTGATTCTGACTCCCTCCATTCCCAAAACAGCCATTATTTATTTATTCTACATAGTGATAGGTGGGGCTAGTAAGGGTTACAATTTATCCAAAGACTCCTAGTCCAGAGGGTGTAGATAATCTTATGTTTGAAGTATTTTGACCTGAGTATAATCTTGTAATGATTTAAGAAGGCATATATGATCATATGCTTAAAAGAGTCAATGGGAAATCCCAGATAGGTGGTATCAACAATCCTAATCTTTCCTTCCATAACACAGGAAAATACACAAAACCAGTCACTGTGAATTTGTGGTCCCCAAAGCTGTGTATTAGTGTCTCCAACACAGTACAGAACAAGCAACCAACTATTCGAAGTAGTACCTCTCATTATTTAGGAGCAGTGCTAAATAAATATTAACAAATACTTCCACTCACTACTCTTAAGGACAGATTAGCGTTTCAGTATATCTTGTGTCAACAAAAAGGCAGAAGGAAACAGTTGTTCCTTGTCCATTTTACCCCAAGCAAGATTAAACAATGATTTGAGAATTTAGGATCATGAAGTTAATAATGAAAATAGGCTTACATTACAGGTGCAGAAGTAAAACTTGTGATATCAAACATCCACCTTCATGTCTTCCATGTTAGGTTCCATGGCAGAGGACTCTCCAAATCTGAAGATATTTTTCTTTTCCTAAAGTGTGTATACATTCTGGGCAGACTCTGTTCTGCCAAGATTCTATTACAGAAGAGACGTAGCTGGAGACTGATGCACTAATTCAAGCCATCAATTCAAATGAGAAAACTCAATTTTGTTCTTAGGTATCCCTTCCTCCCTTTTCCTAGGAAGAATCAAAGATGAAGAATTAAAGACAAGTAAAGACATTTCCTCAAGCAAGCAGAGAGAATTTACAATCAGAATCAAATGGTTTCTAGTAACAATTTTTACTTTCTTCCACACAAACACATTTGAAAGAACAAAGTAGTATTGCAAAATACAGTTTTATGGTAGTTCCCTCTCTAGAAAAGAGAAAAAAGGAAAATTTCATGCGACATATACTATGTTTCAGGTACAGCCCAACACAGTTAACGAGTCTAATTCTATTTAATGGACACTATGATAACAACTTTACAGAACAGGGAGTGAGATTCACAGAGGTGAAGTTTCTTGTGCAATTCAGAATGACACTGAAATCATATGCTCTAACAGTTCCACTACTACTAACAGGACACACAAAAAGAAACTGAAATTACATGAAAAACACACGTGTACTCCTACGTTTCTTTCAGAACTATCACAACATTCAGGATGCAGGATATGGAATGAACACAAGGGTCTTTCAATAAATGGATGAATGAATAAAATGCAATATGTTTACATTTCATAAATAGACACAAGGTTTTACCATTTTTGAAAGCATGAGTGAACCTGAAACACATATTAAGTGAAACATGTCAAGCACAGAATTTTTAAAAACCACATGATTTCACCTTGTGTCAGGAATTTTTCTGTAAATAATTCCTTTTTACTTCATTTTTTAAGTATATTGAAGGAAAAATAGTTGTATAATTTCAATGTGAACTTATATTCCCAGCATATAACTTGCATTGTAAGGAAGGGGGGTTGCATTGAAAATGGACAGTGTTGCTGTTGCTGCTATATAAGGATAACATGGCCTGGGAAACTGGCGCACAGTGTTCTATGAAGTCAAAATGCAGAATGCAAATGTTAATGACTCAGTCCCAACACACTCAGCCACCTTATCTTTGATAAAAGAGCCAAACATGTCCACTGGAAGAAAGTTAGGCTCTTAGATAAATGGTGCTGGAAAAACTGGATTTCCAAATGCTGAAGACTAAAACTAGAACCATGTCTATCACCATGCACAAAAATAAAGACAAAATAAATCAAACATTTAAAAAAATAGAAATACTAAATTTACTGGAAGAGAAAATAGGTAGGTATAGGCAGATATTTCATGAGGAAAATCCAGACTGCAAAGTATCAACACATGGGCTCTCACGTCATTAAAAATCTTTAGCACAAAGAAATAAACCATCAATCCCATGAAAAGACACCTCACATAGTGGGGGGAAATTATATCCAGTTGTCCCTCAAAGGATTTAAATATAGAACATTTAAAGAACTGAAAAAAATCAAATTCCCCAAATTCAAAGACTCAATCCAAAATTATGAATACACCCTCAGATGAATTTGTTTATAAAAAGTGACCTAAAGAAGCTGAGTGTGAGGTAGTGAGTACAAGAGCCTGGAGACTGTAGGCAAAGTGAGGATAGGGAGTATCTGTGCAATAGACACAATGTTACAGTAAGCACTTGACAGGAAGAGCAAGTTCTGATATTCTATGAAACAGCAGGGTGAATATAGTTTATGGCAATGCAGCATCTCAAAATAAGTACAGAAAAAAATACATGTAAAGTTACCACATAGAAAGGACAAAAGTTTAAAGAGATATATACACCAGTTTCCCTAAATTGAGCATTACCCAATGTATACATAAATCAAAACACATGGTACATCATCTATATTTATAAGTATTATGTGTCAAGGTAAAACTAATTTCTAAATTAAAAATACGGGATTAATTCCTGGGTTATATTTGGTTTGACTATGTTCCTTCTCTTGGCGTTTCCCTTGTGAGAATTATAATAAATCATATTGGGAAGTCATGTGTAAGACATCTTTACAGTGTATATTTTTTCCATAATTCATGCATTTATTTCCAAGGGTGGCATTGGATTTATGATGTTTGTTCCATTAATAAGCTAGTGATTAGCCTGAACAATTAATTGCTATGATGATGTCTTTATATTGCAATGTGGCAGCCTTCTAGTTATTATATGTGTGTCTTGACAAGTTCTTTCCTGCCTGATATGGAGATTTGCTAATTATTTCTTATCAGTAACTCGGGACAATATGTGACCTTTCCCTTGCTCAGTGTGAATATATTACTTTTACATTTTATCTCCAATTTGTTCATTTACCTTTCAAAAACAGTGAAAACTCTTGCTTATGGCCTTTTTTGAGACAAGGTCTCACTATGTAATCCATGCTGACCTTAAACTTCTATCTAGTAAAGACTGACCTCCTAAGGAGGTTCTCCTGCTTCAGCCTCCTGAATGCTGGAATCACAGACATGTGCCACCATGCTTGCTTATGGCCTTTAACTAGTAGTCCATGAGTGGACAACTAACATCATGCAGGTGAAGTTTAGAAAATGTGGCTTTTCAGAACTTTCATGATGGGCAAATTATTCCACCTAATGCACTCATCTATAGCTAAAACAAGCTATGATTACCCACAGGGAACAGAAAATATAATGACCTTGTACTTTTCATCTTTTCTGCACCTATTGCTCTCTTGCTGCCTCTCCTAATCCTTAAACCACCTCTAACATAGTCTCTCTGGACCCTCTTGCCTTAGCTGTTTGTGTTCCCAACGAAGGACATTCATTAGTCTGTTCTAAATAAGTCCCTGAGGCAACTTGTGTTGTTGTTTTTTTCACAATTGATTCCCCAGTGCATTTTCTTAGAACATAGGAACCTGTGTTACTCTGAGTGAAGTACAATCCAGGGTGAACAGGGGAGTTCGTGTGGTTCTGTCTTTTGAGGTCATCAGCTTCATTTCTCCTAGATTAGGAAAATCTATTTACACTGCTTCTCATAGTGGGTTTAGCCTTCTTCTTAATGACTCTGCTTTTCAAAAGCAGCATGCCCAAAAACTATTAGTCACCTCCAGTCTGAATGAATTGAAAACCAAAGATGTCAAATTCTCATTAAACTAAGAACTAAACTGAGCTCAGACCATTGGAAGACTCCTTACCAAGAGAAGCCCTGAAACTTTGTGGGTTTCTGTGAAACCCAAATCAGGTTATCATGGCCGACAATGTAAAAGTGGAATGAATTTTGTACTATTTTATCATTATGAGGTCTTATAATTTTCATGTACCTCTAAAAATATTTTGGATTAAAATCTCACTCTAAGAATTTGGGAAGTCAAGTGAGGAAGTATGTGCCCTGTGCACAACTTCACTGAATTTACTTCTCTGTGGTTGTGACACCTGAAGATCTCAGATGCAGATGTGAATTATCAACCACTCTCTGAAGACTCCAGGTTGGTAACCACAGCAGTAGATATCTATGGCACTGTGTAACTTTGGTAACAGTGAGGATCTCCAAGGCTTCATACAACTAAGACGGCACTCTACCACTGAGGTACATCTTCAGCTAAATTTGTTTTTCTGTGCTAGAAATTGAACCCAGGGCCTCATGCATTCTAGGCAAGCACTCCACCCCTCAGCTAAATCCTCATCTTCCATGTATGTTCTGGAACCCTAATCACAACTGTGGACTGCCATCCATTAGAGACTATGTTATCAATATAGTGTGTTCCAACCAATGTTTCAAAAACTTTAAGATACAGTAAAATAAAACAGAAAATACAATATCATATATGTTAAGTACTCTTAAAACTTTTATTTACATTAGATATATACATGTTTGCTAAAAATATATAAAATATAGAAGGCTAAAGCCGTATCTTTTTTAATTGATTTCTTAAACTTGTTGAACATCAGTGTGGCAGGCACTTTCTTCATGTGGGCACAGTGGAGAGTACCTTGGAGAGACATCATGACAAGAACTCTCCTGCATAGGACAAATAAGCATTTGATTCCTTTAAAATGAGTCATTAATCAGGATCATGCCATCAGAGCATAAGTTCATGGTCCATTTCTTTCTATTCTCCTCAAAGTGTACCTGCTCACTTCAGAGTAACTCTTTTTTCTCATATTTGATTACTGTCTTTCACGTTGAGACTCAAAAGCTTTCCAACAATGAAAAATAAAACGATACTGACTGAGTTTATCCTTCTGGGTCTAACAGATGTTCCTGAACTTCTGGCAGTAATTTTTACATTTTTTTTCATCACCTATATACTCAGCATCACTGGAAATACTATCATCCTTATCCTCACTGTGTTGGACTACCACCTTCAAACACCGATGTATTTCTTTCTACGGAACTTTTCCTTCTTGGAAATTTCCTTCACAAACGTTTTTATTCCCAGGCTTCTGGTCAGCATCACAACAGGGAACAAGAGTATAAGCTTTGCTGGCTGCTTCACTCAGTATTTCTTTGCCATACTCCTTGGAGCAACAGAGTTTTATCTCCTGGCTGCCATGTCCTATGATCGCTATGTGGCCATCTGCAAACCTCTGCATTACATGACCATCATGAGCAGCAGAGTCTGCATCCAAATGGTTCTCTGCTCTTGGCTGGGGGGGTTAGTGGCTATAATACCACCAATTAGTCTGATGAGTCAGCAGGACTTTTGTGCATCCAACAAGTTGGATCATTACTTCTGTGATTTTAAGCCTCTTCTAGAACTCTCCTGTTCAGACACAAGCCTCATAAAGAAAGTTGTCCTCCTTGTGGCATCTGTGACTTTGCTAGCCACTTTGGTACTGGTGATTTTCTCCTATACATTCATCATCAGAACTATTCTGAAGCTACCCTCAGCTCACCAAAGAACAAAAGCCTTTTCTACCTGTTCTTCCCACATGATTGTCATCTCCATCTCTTATGGAAGCTGCTTCTTTCTTTATGTTAAGCCTTCAGCAAAAGAAGAAAATGCATTTAACAAGGGAGCAGCTCTGCTCATCACTACCATTGCTCCCTTATTGAATCCCTTTATTTACACCCTAAGGAATCAACAGGTAAAGCAAGCTCTCAAGGATGCAGTCAAAAAACTTGTGAGTGTTTAAAGAATTTAAGAATTAAAGCCTTAATGAACAAATTCCTCCTATGTACCAAGATCTCTGACACTTGGTAGGTACTCAACAAAGAATTTAAGTCCAGTTCAGTGAAACCTAGAAACAAATTAAAACCTGTTAACTGTTAATATAAAGAAATGAATATGATTTTCTAAATGAAAAAGCAGTTAAATTACTCAGTTGAGTGACTTAACCTGAATTATAGGGTCAATAAATGTTTTCAGAAAGAGTATCAGTTGTATTGGATTTTGACAAATAAGGATAAAACAAGAAAGCAAAAATGGATAAAAATAAATATGGTCAGAAAAAATATTGTGGGTGGGAACACAAATTTTCAATTCAAAAAAACTGAATAAATGTCATTGTCATTCATTTCAGTCTAAAAAAGGAGTCAGAATAAAGTTGTGGAGATTAAAATTATAGTTTTGAATTAAGATCAATTCTCATCTACAATCAGTGAATGCCAATAGTGTGGAGAAGATTTATCTGAGTTTGGGTCTGGATCTATGGATTTAGCAGTCCTTGTGATGTAGATGATAAATGATTGCACAGGAATCGAAAAGGTCATGGATAAAAATTACCTAAAGAAAAGTCTCAAATGATAAGCTTTAAGGATCCTTCCAATACCTGATGGGCAAAAGAAGTACAATGAGTAATCAGAAAATCGATAGATCTGTGCAATTCATAGGAACTTAATGTCTTAACAATTAGGTCATTGAAAACGTGACATTAATTAGAGGCATTAACATGAAGGATGAATCAACAAGGTTTCCCTGTTGACCTTAGCCATTTTCAGCAAATGTAGAAAATGGGGTAAGGTAATAAGAAATCTGGGTGTGGTGCATTCCCAGTAAAATGTTAGAGAGTGATAAGATGGAATTTCAAAAGTAGAGAAATAAAAAGAATGACCTCTAAGTTACGTTCCCTCATTCTATCCTTTGCTTTCTCATGCACAGTATCACAATAATGGCTGTATACTTAAAGTTGATATTCACCTCCAGTCTGTAAGGTCTAGGGGTGCAGGGATAGCGCATTATGATCTCATTCCATCTGAAATACCAAGCCTAATTAGCTATTGAATGAATGAATGAATGAATGAATGAATGATAGATGGATGAATAGATGAAACAGTGAATGAGGGAATCCAGAATAGAATTTTTTAAAGTAAAGAGCTTTGATCATTTGAGGGTTTATAAGCTGAAATTAGTGAAATAGAAGGTACCCTTTATTTGAATTGTTTTATAAGTTTCAAAAAACCAAAACTTAAAGAGACAAATAGTTACGCAAGGACATGAAGCTAAGTCCCTGGATGAAAATCAGAAGACAAATACAGCACCGGAGGCTACATTCTTAACTATTAAACCATACAGCCATTCTAACTTATTTTAATAGATGTTACCCTCACATTCCTAAGTGCTCTTGGCTTTTCTCCTATCTCCTGCTTGTCCAAGCTCTCAGCAAGCTCAGTTGGGAGGCTCAGCATATGAATCTCTTTAGGAACTGAAATATGCAAAAGCCATATTAATTCATGGTGTGGTGCTTAATTTTTCTCTAGATTCTTTTTCTTTTCACATTCCAGCTCTCCTAAACAATGTGAATTCTTATTTTTTCTCTTTCAGAAGAAACATTAAAACCCTAAAAATCAGGGCACATAAGAAACAGTAATTTGCTGCCACCATTGCCTCCAAAAAGTTTCCAACAAGGATTCAGTCATTAGCTAAATGGGGACAGGAGGCAGGAGGCAGGAGGCTCAGACTTGTGGCCAAATTGCAGACCTGTGGCTGTGGTTCCCAGGGTTGAAGGCAAGTAAGCTGCAAATGTTCATTTAGCAAAGGACTAAATGAATTAATAATGTCTTTATTACTTAAGGTCCAACTTATTAATGAGATTTTCTATCTACTTGATTTTTGATTGGCCAAAGTCTTCTCTTCTCAACATTTTAAGCATATTTTGAACAGCAGTATAGAGGCATCTACAAATAAATCCTCTAATGTTGCCTTTCTTAATATATTATAAAAACAGTTTTCTAGTTTTCTCAGGGGAACTATAGGTATCGGCCAAAGATAAGCACACCATTGAAGTGAGAATTCCATCTTGAGGTGTGCCCCCTCTCTCTTCCACCTTGTCTAAATGTCAGTTGGCCTCCAGGCCCCTCCAAGAGCTGATACTCTGAGCCAAGCTGCAACATAAGAAGTTCATTCATCACTGCAATCAGAAAAGGCCTACTGAGACTCGCAGACTTTCCTGACAAGAATGGGGTGGGGAATCAGGGGCTGGTAGCACACACCTTTTCAAAGTATACTTCTTGCTTTTGATTCTGCTTTTGTTGTTTTATTAGTACTCTATAAAAAACAGTGTGGCACAGAGAGGCTGGCAACATATGCTGCAAACCATGTTGTCCACTGCTCTGTGACACCCTTAAAAAATTCATTTACTTGCCAAGTGGGACTTGTCTGAATCGTTCTTCGGATTGTCATCCCCTTCTTGGTTTGTAAACAGACATTTGTATTACATTGCTCTGGAAAATCTATACATCTCCCTAGCCAGAATATGTAATTTTCCCTACAAATATCAGCCAAGTTATAAAGTGGATTTGCTAAGAAAGTTTTGCAATGCAAATTATTCCCACTAAACCATAGCAATAAATGAATAACAAAGATAGCTCTCACCTTAATCTTTTGAAATTAAAAATAAAATCATGTCACCCTGTTTCTTAAAATTTCTGATGACTTCTCATTATTGAAATTTCAAGTCCCTCAACATAATCTGCAAGGTGCAGCATGACTGAGTAATGCTCTGGTTCTTCCAAACCCCGATCAAACACTAAGATAACAGGTTCAAAAGAAGTAATTGTTTGTACTGCTGTCCCTCATCCGCCAAGAGAACTATCTCCCCACCCACCTTAATCATCACAAAGATTACGAATACTCCAAGCCATCTTCCTCATTAACCAAAGTGGTATTTCATCTTTAAAATCCTCTGTAGCCTAAACTTCTTCTATGTATATTCTCTTTATTTCTATCTCCTCTAACTGAAACTTCGTATTTTTTGAGAATGTCCTTCTCATATTGTTCTCTTAAGCAGAGTCTCTCAACACTCCAAGTTTCTGTGGTCCTGAAAGTAGGGAAGGTTCCCTTCTTACTCCTCATTGTCTTTTTCTTTGGCCTCATTTCTCCTCAAGAGCCATGATTCCTTTCTGTGAGGAGGAAGTGAAAGGATCACAAGTTCAACCCCATCTAGGGTAAAGAATAACCTGTCTCAAAAATAAGTCAAAGGAAATTAGAGATTAACTCAGTGCAGAGGTCTGAGACTGACTTCCCATTAATACAAAAAATCAATTTCTTTCATAAATATGTGATTGAATCATATCATTGCTTGTTCAATTACTCTAAGGTTCTTCTTATCTCACCAGAGAATTTAGCTTTTGTGTTTCTATCTTTCACTGTTCCATTTACCCCTATTGCCTTTCTTAGTGACCTGGATACCTACATAGATGACACAAACATTCTGTCCCCTTATTTCTTAACATCCTCACTTCTAGACACTTTTTCAATCTCCCACTCCCCGTCATACTCTAGAACTTGTCATTTACAATAACTACTCTTCCTTCAAAATTGTGATTCTGCACATCCTGCTACGACTGCAACATTCATTCTGTCTTTCCAAATAATCACTTCCAGTCCTTTCTCAAAACTTCCCCAACCCAAAAGGAGTCAGTCTGATGCTCCCACCTTTTACTTTCCAACATCTCCTTGCCGGCCACTATCAATTAAACAATCTCTGAGTGTGCCTTCAACACCCTTCCCTTCTCTCCCTTCCACTGTTTCATAGAAGAACTTTTAGAAGTTCAACATGCTTTCACTGTCTGCTTCACATACCTTATTAAACCCATTCCAAGCAGGTTTCTACTACAGCATTAATAAACCTGCATTAGTCTGGTCAACTGCAACTTCTACATGGGAAAACTCAGCAGATACATCTCAGTCCTTATCCTAATGAACCTCTCTGTAGAATCACACAGTAAACCTTTTCCTTGTGAAATTTTCATCTCCTCACTTTAATGATACCACACAGCTTTTTTCCTCAGCCTAATATTTCTCTGAAGTTTTTACAACTTGTTGGCTTGTTGCTATATTAGACTACAGTCTAACACATTGTAAAATAATTTAAATCTCCATGGTTTGGATTCTCCTGATACTTTACCAAACCCAGTGGTCAAGTCTCAATCTTTATCTTACATTTCCTATTAATATTTGACACAATAGATCATTTGCTTCCTGTTAGCATTTTACATGACAGATCAATTCCATGTTTTCAAACGACTCCCAAAATAGGCAACCTTTTTTAGATTTCCTCCTACCTCTCTGACTGCTCTTCTCCTTTCTCCACAATCTCTAAAGTTCAAGAACATATCTCAATATTTATTTCCAAGTTCCCCTCCCTAACAACATTCTTCCTTAATATCTCAATCAATGTTTGTCAATGTCTTATATAGGTAGACAAATGATCCCCAAATCACATCTCAAGCCCAGAATTCTCCCTATTAGATGTCCAAGAGATATGTCAAATTCAGACTTTAAAAGTGCACTTTCAATGAACTTTAAAGTAATATCAACCCTGCAGATCCTTCCTTCCCCTGTTGCCTTAGCAAATTGCTTTACCCTCAGACTCCCTCATCTCAATCAATTCCCATTTCTCTCTTACTGGTCATGAAAAAATTTGTTGAAATCATCCTTAAAGTCTATTTATTTCTTGAATCCCAACAAGAAACCTTGTTGACTCTCAATGTATCCAGAATCCTACCCCATCTTATCATCAACTCTACTTTGTCATCTTAGCTGTATCTGTGAGTAGTTAGTGAATGATATTTCAACTTTATCTGTAATGTAATGTATCCATAAAGCTAAAATCCAACATATAGTTCAAATATACTCCAGATGCTTTTTATGTAATAAACAGTGAAATAGTTCTCTAATTCCAACCATATTGTA